TTGGGTATCAGGAGTTTGCTGCTAGCAAGTGCCAAAAGCTGCTGATTCTGCTGGTGATCTCTGGAAGAAAGGTGTGGCAGTGAGTGGGAGCTGGGAACATTTTTCTACCAACTTAGAATGAGTCAAAGTGCTTAGATTTGCCCATGTCTTTCAGCTTCACTGTATATTCTGAAAGCTCTGTGAAGCTTGCAACCCCTCTAGGGCAGCTAGAAAATGTGGCAGCATCTGACTCCTCCTTACACTCACCAGGGAGGGCAATGTGTGCTGTGGGACTGTGTCCTATGTGCCTGTGTCATGATGTATAAATTACCTACCTAGACTCCTTCATGCATACCAGGGAGAGAGCTGAGATGCTACTTGGAAAAGCAGCAGCAGCAGCGAGCCATCAAAAATGAAATCAGTTCTGTTGCCAGGATAATTACTTGATCCTAAAAATGTGAAGAAATTCTGAAAGAGCCTCTGCAGCCAACACATTCTTCTGCTGACTGGTTTGCTGGTAGGGGACAGAAAAATGGAGCATCCCTTCTAATTAGTGATGGGAGCTTGCTGCTTCAGGATCAAAGGAGAACGCTGTTTGCTGAATCAAGCTAAGATCAAAGTGTTCTATGTACAGGAAGGGCCCATTCCTCTTTCTGCTGACAGTGGTGTACCCTGCTCATCCTCTGGGCATGCTGCTTACAGGGCTGCTTAATTACTAAGTAACGAGGAGACTGCAGTCACAAGAGAGGGTGTAATGGCCATTGTAATCCAATTCTGAGAGATGATTTGGTGGTGATCAATTCTTTATCTCTCTGAAGTCATTAAACTTCTGAATGCTTAGAAAATACCTGGATTGTGTAACTTTGCAGAAGGAGACTTCTTACAATATCCTCTGCTTGATTTTTCTGACCTCTTATGTGTAGTTTGACTTAGGCTGTATGTGTGTGCATATATCTATATTTGCATTTATATCTACTCCAGGGAATTGAAGTCCTCATTCCTTAGGCTGCATTGAAAAATCCTTATCCCAATAGATATGCTAAATTGGAAATCTCTTTTTCTCTCTCTCCTCTGCCTCCCTCCTCTTGCATTAATACAAACCCACATTTTTGCAATGCCTAATTTTGAAATGTTTAAACACAGATAATTTGGTTGAGTTTTCCTAGTAGGTGTCACCCTGGGCATACAGGTTTTTAAGTGTATGTGACTTTGTGTGCATCCATCTGTGTTTTGGGCCATGACTGTTAGTGTGGAAGAATGCAGTCACAAAGATACTTGCATAGATGGACAAGTGCATATGTAAATGTTACATTTTTTAGTAGTCTTGAGATGGTGCAGCTTCTGAAAAGGGTTTGATCTTTGCTCTTTAGGCTGTCTCACCAGGAGTCATCTTATAGTACTGCCAACCCAGTGCTGTGCTAACACACCACCCTACCTCCCTGCTCATGCTGCTGGAAGAAGTCTTTGCCTACATATCCTCTTGCCTTGTTCAGTCTTTCTTGTCAGAAGTGGCTCTGTTTTCTCCAGCTGTAGCCCTGCAGGTGCCACTCAGCTTAACAAAATGAGCCTTTAAGTGACACCTGCCTTGTACACCAGAAGAGCCAAAAAAAGGGACAAAGAGCAGTTGGCATGCCCTGGGCTGCCTGAGGAAAAGGCAACCTGAGGAGCTGGCTTGCCTGGTGGCTTAACAAGGCAGAGATAGAACAGTGTGGTGTGTGTGTGGGTGCTCATCTTGCAGCCAGGTTCAAACCTTGACAAGAAAAATGAATGGAGACCTCAGCTCCTCCTTAGTGCTTCCCTGCACCATGGCATTCAAATTAAAAGGGATGCTGTGTTGCCTTGAAAGGAAAAGGAGATAATGTGGGCTGTAGGGTGTTGCAGCATAAGAGTGGGGTACTGGCAGGGAAAAGGGAATAAAGTGTTTTCTTTAATTTTTAAGATCACTCATGAATATATTGGGAAGTTCTCAAATGTAGCAAAAATATTTTTACGGTGAATAAATTACGTATGTTCTATTTTTGTGTTTTTATTATTCTTCAGGATGTTTACAATCAACTAATAATAAATATTAGGAGTAGAAATAGGGTGATTAGACACGAAAATCTCATCATCTTGATGACTGAGTGATTGATGTAACTAATTCTGCAAAGCAAACTGCGAAGTCTAACTTTTCCAGTAAATTGGAACACTCACACTTAAGTATTACTTTTCTGAATGACAAGAATTTGAATATGTGGGTTTTTCATGGAACAGAAAGTGGAAGGGATAAGGAATGAGGCTGAAAAACACATAGTGCTGTTCCAAATTGGATGAGTAGTTTCTTTTCCTCTCATGGAGAGGATCTCATTAAATCCATGCTGAACATAACAGAAGAACTTCCCGCACCACATTGGAGAGAGAGGTCAATCCAATAGATGTTCAAAGTGTTGTGACTCCCTGTACACTGGTTAGCACATGGATGATGCTAGACTGGATGAGTAGTCATGGCAAGATAGCCTTCAAATTTCAGCCTGTGGAAGAGACAATTCCTTGTTGGAGTCGCATTCAGCAAGAGAGATCTCCAAAGTTGACATGGATCCCTTCTGGGCTTTGGGCTACTCCCACTGCCTGGCCAGCCGTAAGAAAATGAGGAGTCCAAATCCATTCCCAGCCTGTTGCCCACAGACACAGCTGGAAGGCAGATGCCTTGTGATAAAAGGTGATGCTTATTACTGGCTCTTCAAGTTATTTACTTCTGCTTGCTACTGACAGACTTGCATAGGAGATTGATGGATTAAGCTTCCACCAGCTGTTTCTCATCCAGCCACCTAATTCTCTGAGATGTTAGCATTGGAGATTAACTGTTTCCCTTAGAGTTTCCAAAATGTTCCATATTTTTAATTATGACCCAAGACAATGAGGAAAGTCAGACTCAGAGTGCTTTTTTCCCACAAAGAAAGAAACTTGTGAACTTCACTTGAAGAGGTTAAAGTGTAATTTTGTCTGACTCTGCTCTGAATCATTTCTGAGCCTCCTTGAACTACCTGGGTCTTTAAAGGTAGGAGATGTGGAAAAAGGAATGGAAGTTTGGAGGAGGTGGCTGAGTATTTGCCAAGTCCTGGAGTACTGCAACTCTGGAGCAGTCAGTTCAAACACCAAAACACATGGAAGGCTGTGCAGGTGCTAGAATCTTTGGATTTGTAGCATCTGAAGCTCATCACTTCCAGGCTCTGGTGCTCCATTTCTACCTTAGGCAGCCTGGGAGGGATCTCAGCAGACAAGCATGTGGGGACACTCACCTTTTCCTCAGACATCAACCTGTTCCATATCTTAGTAGTTCAGATAGAAAACTATTCTCATAAAGCATTTCACCTTCAGCAAAGCACTGTCTCTTGGCAGAAAATAGAAACTTTGCAGGCAGCCCTTCCTGGATTCAGCAAGAGAATAGGGTGGTCTGCAGACAGCACCCGAATGTTAGCAGTATTCTGCTGTTGGCTTGGAGCTTGAAAACTCCTTCTCTTCTTCTCTAGCACTCTCCTACATGCTTTGAACAAGAAAATGGTGAGCTATCATACAGAGACATAGCTTTTTTGTAGTCAATATTTTGATTTTGCAGGGAAAAATGGTTTAAAGCATTTTAGGGCTACTCAAAGGGGCGGTGGAGACCCCTTGGTTAGTTTCATTTGACAAGGCTTTGGTGGTAGGAACAGAGGTATTTTTTCCCTGTGTAACTTGCAGTCTTAAAATGGCAGCCTTGAGCTGCTGTACTGGGAAGCTGGGGCTTATCAGGCTTTTGTCTTTGTCCATGTATGTGGAATGCTAAGAAGTGAAAGGTGGAAATTCAGGAAAACAAATGAGATTTGATGAGATCCTTCATTAGCAATAGTAATTTTTCATCAGCTAAACAGAAATGACTGGACTGGAAAATATTTCAAATTTTAACCCTTTAAATTAAAAATATTGTTAAAATAGTTCTGGTCTTGCTGTACTTTATGAGGCATAGAATTGGGAGGAGAGCCGTGTTTCTTGGTTAATATTACAGTTTCTTTTTCTCATTCCCTGATGTTTGGTATCATTAAGATTGATGGGTTTGAAAACATATGTCTTTCTCTTAGATACAGCTTGGTTGTTCTTGTAACCCTTTGCCTGTTGTCAAAAAAATCACTGCTGTTCTGAGAGGCTCTGAAACTAGAGTACCCTCATGTAAAAGGACCACATATGTACATTTGTCTGTAAAAAACGTGCATGAGAGCAGAGTGATCTGTGAGGAATGAATATAATTCCTTTTAGACTGATGTACAGTTGTGTAGGAATGTGTGGGAATCCAGGCCTTCCCTCTGGCTGCCCTGGAAGGTCTGGGACCCTGGCAGGGGGACAGGAACACCCCTGGACAGAGCCCCCAGAGACACTGTTTCTGATCTCTGTCCATGGAAAAGAGATTTCAATCTTACAGGATGAATTACAAGCTGTGAGTGTTTGATATAAGTAATAATTAAGTGTGGCACGGGTGCAAAAGTAAAATTTTAGGATTCTAGATTAGGGGTTCAAAGGGGACAAGATGGAGGAAATTGGGTGTGTCTTGTCCTTTTTCTCCTTCTTCATGCCCTCCATGTTTCACTGTAGTGTTGGCATTTTTCTATTGGTTTAGGCTGGGGACACACTGTTCAACGTAGATGACAGATATTGGCACATTATTGTAAATACAGCACACGTAGTTTCTGGTATATAATGTTTGTAACATCCCACTGAGGGGCAGAGCCCCACACGCTGCCCTGCAGGACAGACCTGCGGCAGGGCAGCAGAACATGTTAGAGATAAGCAAGAATAAACAACCTTGAAAACCAGCACAGACGAATTATGGCTTCTTCTTTGGCAACAGGGCAGAAAGACAGAGACTTTCTACAATCTCGGAGTCATCAATACCTCAGATTCTGACAAGAATGGGATGCTGTGTTGTGACCTGCCACTGGGGCCACCTGCAGAGCTTTGAACTGTGTGTCCTTCTCCTGAAAGGCTTGAACCATATGTCCTTCTCTTTCCAGGTCTGGTGTGTCCTCTGGAGGTGTCAGTCAGTTCAGGGAGTATCCAGGTTGCCCGAGGCCAGACAGCAGTGTTGCCCTGCACCTTCACCACTAACGCTGCTCTCACTAACCTTAATGTCATCTGGATGGTCATTCCTCTTTCCAACGCCAACCAGCCTCAACAGGTAGGTCTTTTCTGATGGGAGCATGTATTTCCTTGGGGTTTTCCTGTTCCCCACCCTGTTCTGGATGTAGGCCCTCTACAATGCTGAGTCTATGGCTGTCCCAGAACTTCATTGTCCCTTCACTGCTGAATGTACCCTCTGGATATTACATGCATCTGTTTTCTTCGGTGTTTTGTTAACAGATGCACATTGTGTCCTTGGCTGGATGTGCAGTTGGGTCAAGTGTATGTGATACTGTGTTGCTGCCCTAGGCCTCTGATGTTTGTGTGTTCAAGAGACCACAGGAGATGTAATCCAGGTTTTGGTGCACTGGATGTGGAATTTGGAGGGCCTGGGAGTAGCTGCAGCTTTAAACCTGTGAAATCTATGTAAAATGTCATCTAACACATAACTTCTCATAGATTCATAGTAACCTTTTACTTCCTTTTTTTCCTTCACTGTCTATAGCTTTTGCAACACTAGCAAATGAGAGTATTTAATGATGGGCACAAAAATCATAACCTGAGATATGCTGGCCTGTATTTTTGCCCACATACTCTGACAACAGAAGAACACCATTTCTCTGAAATACATCTTGGGTCACACTGCCCTGATCACATTTTGTATTCAGTGTGAGAACCTGCAGTCAAGAATACTTGCTCCTCAGGGACTTGGTCTGAGCACAGTCTGAGTGGCAGAGGCCGTGCAGGTTCGAAGGCTGCACTGCCTGTCATTCAGCTCATCCCAACGATCTTCAGTGAGCAGTGTCAAATCATGGCAGGATCTTACTGGCAGACACTCAAAATGATACTGTCCATTGGGCAGATGCTTTTCATCAAAATATTCACTGACCTGCAGAGAGCCTCTGCTTCTGTACATTGATCCTGTCCAGATGGGTAATGACTATCATATGAGGGAGACTGGTATTGCCAATCCAGCTACGCCAGAAGATTTGGGTATCTTTCTGGTCTGTTACCTTTACAAACATTTTTATTGATGTGAAATGGGCTACAAAGTGTTCCTGTTTTGGAAAAAGCACCTGTGCTAGGATGTATATTGAGGTTTGGTTATTCAGAGATCCTTTAGTAACTGGTCCTTTTGTCTTTGGAAGCTCATGTTTTGCTTGCTGTTCTTCCTCCTTGCTCAGTTCCTGGGGAGTGTTGTTTGAGCCTTCCTTTCTTTTCCAGGTTATTCTCTACCAAGGGGGTCAGATCTTTGGTGGTGCACCCCAGTTCTATGGACGAGTGGGGTTTGCTGTGACAATGCCAACCACCAGTGCCTCCATCTTCATCAACAACACTCAGCTATCGGATACTGGCACCTACCAGTGTTTGGTCAACAATCTTCCCGACCGAGGCGTCAGGAATATTGGAGTCATTGGACTGACTGTCTTGGGTATGTTTATTGGTATTATGGGCGGGGGTCAGGGGCAAGGGGACCTCTGTGCATGATAGTGCATCATGAACAATATGGTACTGTGTGTCTTTGAGCCCACCGACATCCCGTGGGGAGGAATAGGCTGCCTTGTGGGTACTGTGGGATTTTGTAGGGCACACAGACTTCATATGCAGGCAGTGTGTAATGAAGTTTTAAAATATGGTGGAGAGAAAGTTTTTGTGGTGGTGTTGTGATATGGAGTTGCAAAGAAGCAGGAATAAAGTGTGAGGGCATCCTGGAGGGCTGAATGGAGAGTAAGGGGTTTGGTGCATAGCAACAGGAGGAGAGAATGACTTTATATCTTTGCTTCCTTTCCATGAAAACTGTTAATTCTGGATGCTCCCACTGCTGCTAAATATTCCAAAGTGCATGCCATTATAGAGATATGAAAGCAAAACCCAATCACAGTAAATTCTGTCTGCCACTATGTTAACTTTCACCATCCTTGCTGTCTCCAAGACAGAAATATTCACCTTTTTTTCAATGGACGGATCTAAAAGAACTGAGTCCTGTGAAAGCCAGCAGTAGTCTGTAACCCTGATGGGCTGGTGGGTCAGGAATATTTGTCTGAATTGTCACCTCCCAAACCATAATGAATTTTTGTCTGCTGACTCGTTCTTGTCCCCTTGACAGCTCATGCTACTGTCCTTGCTTTCCCCAGCAGCACATGTCCAGAGTGAGCCTACATTCCACTGTTTGGTCACATTTCCTGATTTGCTGTCACCTTCCCCTCTTCTCTCGCAGTTCCTCCCTCTGCCCCGCTTTGCAGAATCCAGGGGTCCCTGGACGTGGGCAGCGATATCACACTGACCTGCAGCTCGGAAGAAGGCATCCCCCGACCAACATACCTCTGGGAGAAACTCGACAATGTCCCCAAGTTGCCCCCAACTGCCACACAAGGTGCTCATTCTGTTGATTATCCTCTTATTTCCCAGGCAGCAGCCTGGGCTGGCCCTTGTCTGAGCTGCCAGAGGTGGCATGGCTCATTGAGCATCTGCCATAATTTGCATGGTCCCTTTATTGGAACGGAGATTCCTAAAGCCCACGGTGGATGGGGTACCCTCCAGTGGCCACTTACATTTTTGAGGGTTTTTTTTTGTCCAGAAACATTTTCCCCATGGAAAAACAAGGATTGGGTTGAATGGAAGAGGGAGAGAGTGATTTCTGGATGTTCGCATGTGGCTGGAAATTTCAGCTGCCAATTCACCTGCATTTTAAACCAAAAAAAAAGGTTTATAGAATGGAAATGGGGAAAGGAGAGGCAGAATCATTCCAGGAAAATATGGTCAGCTTCCCACACTTATACCACATTTCTCCAGTAAATTACTGCCAGAGCTGCTTTTCAGATGTACGGAGATGCAGGGCTCTGATCAAACTGGTGTTTCCCAGCCTCAAGTCCTGCCCTTAGGTTTTCTTAGCCTAGGTGTCCTGATCAAATACTGATAGCTGTACTTTTGCCCTTTATTTTGCTCTATTTTAAGAATATGGCAGCTTTCAGTTTCATAAAATTCAGGAATGAAGAATATTGGCAGAGCAGGAAATGGGGAACCCAGGGATGGGAGAGTAGGGACTCTACAGAGCAAGACTGAATTCAGCAAGTAGATCTGGGTATAGGTAATTTTGCATCTATTTCTTCCTTGTTCTCGCACAACACTGAGAGTCCCAAGCTTTCATCTGCAGAAATTCCTCTATAAGAAGAGAAAGAAACATCTAGTGTAAGCTCCTTAAGGCCTAATCTTGTCTCTGTGTGTGTATGTACATGCACAATGCTTCCATCTAAAGGTTACTTCCTAATTTATTTCTCTCTTAATAGTCTCACACCAAAATTCTCTATTTGCTGGATTTGCCTTTTCATGGTTTTCCTCAAGCGGGGGAGGGATTTAAATCCTTCTTTTCTCTCTGACTAGACCAAGTCCAGGGCACTGTCACTCTCAGAAATATCAGCACTGCGTCCTCAGGTCTTTACCAATGTGTGGCTTCAAATGCCATTGGAACCAGCACTTGCCTTCTGGACCTGCAAGTCATTGCACGTAAGTATTTTGCCAGGGCAGCCTTGGCCACCTGCTTCTGTCTTGTGACAGTAAGGTGTGTAACCATATTTGCTGTGAGCCACCACGTGCCTCTCTATCAGAAGATAATCATGCCTTGGAATGGGAACATTGCCTTTCTCCCCTCCCAAGCCTCGAGAGGGCTTCATGTGCTTCATGTGCTTACAGATGGCCACAGCCCATCGCTGATTTCTTCTCCATGCTCTGTTCAATCATCTCCACAGCTCACCCACGGAGTATCGGCCTGATTGCAGGAGCAGTGGCCACAGGTGCTGTTGTGCTCGTTGTTTGCATTGTGTTGGTGGCTGTAGCACTGTTCTATTGGAAAAATAAACACAAAGAAGAGGAAGAGGAGGAAATTCCCAATGAGATAAGGTAAGGGTCGGGGAAAGCTGGTGGCAGAGGACCTCCGAGCAAAAGCTGCAGCTGACAGCTGAATGGGAAACCTCATTTTTGTTAATTCTGGGTGTGTTCCCTGAGATCAGGGAAAGATGTCCTTACATGTTCAGAAAATGGAGGGAGAAAATGAAGAATGGTAACAATACATTTTGTTTTCAGTATCGCCTATAATGCCTTTAATCCCTCTGCCAGCAAGAAGGATGGGACTTCATGTCGTTAGCTCTGTAGGAAAATGATGTGGTGGGAATTCTGACCCATAATGCCATAGCTGAAAAGCTCTAGAGATATGACTGTGATATTTTCCCATCACAGAGGTTACAGTCACAGTTATCACTGTCTGGCACTGCCTGACTTTCTCTGTAGACACATGAGCATGGGTAATTTGCCTTAGTGGCAAATTTGGCACATGGAGCACACAGGTAGGTCCTACAGAGAGCGATGAGCAAACGGGCCAAGGAGCAATCTGATTCACACCGGTGCTGTCCTTCTCCTTGAATCAATGGTGTTGACCCCAGCATGGTGGTTGGGGGTGGGGGTGTTGGACAAGTGGGCCATTGTCCTCCATATGCCCTCACACCTTCTCTTTCCCAGGGAGGATGACCTGCCACCCAAATGCTCCTCTGCCGCCAAGACGTTCCACGCTGACGCGTCCTCATCAGAGAACGACACCCTCACCTCGTCCAACACCTACAACAGCCGCTACTGGAACGACCCCAAAGCCAACCACGCCACAGACTCCTTCACCCGCTTCAGCAACAGCAACGATGCTCACCAGCCCCCCTTCTCCCGCTCAGGGAGCACCAGTGCCCGCCCCGTCTACGCCAACGGCGGCCACCCATCCCCGGCTCCCCCTAAGACGCTGGTGGTGACGGCCAGCACGGCGCCGTCGCCTCAGGAGGTGATCCGGAGCAACGGCTCGGTCAGCAGGAAGCCGCGGCTGCCACACACCCGTTCCTACGCGGTCAGCCAGGCCACGCTGGAGCGGATTGGGGCTGTCCCCGTCATGGTGCCCGCCCAGAGCCGGGCTGGCTCCCTGGTGTAGGACTGTGTTGGCAGCTGAGAGCTGAGCAAGGGGCCTCTCATCCCCTGGCGTAGGGTGAAGAGACCCTACTCCTTCCTGAAAGGCAGCGAGGCGGTGGGGGGGTCACACATTCACCTCTCCACCTGCCCTCCCCTCTCGAGGCTGCTGCCAGCTGGTGGGACAGCCCTGGCCAAGCCGCTTCCCCCCAGCTGCTGGAGCTCCTCGCGCCAATGGACGCCATGGATGTGCCAAGGCCGGAGGATCAGGGAGGTCGGGATGCGCTCCCAGGCTGCTGGACCCCAGCTGGGACATGCACTCGGGCCTGACCCTGGGGGGAACTTTTGCTTTTTTTTTTCCTGTTGGTTTTCTTGGGGACTGATTCCATCCATTGGGGTCTTTCAGGGAGGTTTGGGAGTTATATATATATATTATTTTTTTTCCATTGTTGTTGCTGTTTTGTTTCCAAGAGGATGACGACCTGTGTTAGGGCAGGGAAGGCTGCGCAGCCCCAGCTTCCCATGGCCCTGGCCCCGCTGTTGGATTAGGGAGAGCTGTGCACTGGGGCTGGGTTTGGGGAGGCATGGGACAAGCTGGAGGGGTGAGATGAAGGCACAGCCACCAGCCCAGTCAAGGGGATGGGTGGGTGAGGGTGTGGGCCAGGAAGCATTTGTCTTTATTTTTTGCAGTTCTTCCCCCCACCTCAGCACACACAGACACACACACACAGACAGACACATGCAGATCCTCAGACTGGGTGTTTCTCCTGCACTGGGTTGGAGTGCCACCAGAGCCCTGTTTATAGCTGTGGAGGATGCAGCCATCTGAGCATCTTTCCTTGAGACGCTCGGTGCAGGGCAAGGCTGCACCGCTGCTGCTGCTGTTGATGCTGCTCTAGGGCTTGGATCTCTTTTTTTTCCTTTTCTTGGGGTGTTGCTGGGGGTTATTCAGGAAGCAGAGAGGAGCCAGATGGTGTCACAGAGCACCACGCAGGTTCATGAGGCATCTGTTGCTCCTGGGTTGCTCTGATTTAGGGCAAGTGTCTTCAAACCCAACAATTTTGATGTTTGCATGGTGGATTTTATTCATCAGGCTGTGCAGGGCTGGGCAGCATGGCAGGGCTTGAAGCCTTCACAGAGAGGCATCAGAGTTTTCATTCCTGCTCTCCCACAGACTTGTTAGCAGGATTTGTTTCCTGCTTTAGAATGCAGAGGCTTAATGAAAGCCCACACACTATCTCTCTGCCTCCCCCACTTCCCTCGATGTCCTGGGACTGGGTACTGGTGGCATCTGCCAGTGGCCCTGCCATCTCCTTGCAGCCTGGCAGGTGGTTGTGGCTGTCACCTCTACTTTTTTTTTCTATTGCAACTAAATAGCCTTAATCAAAGCCAAGAGTTGAAACCTCTGAAGGAACCTGATGCCATTTGGAGGGCTGGACTGAGGGCTGGGATTTCCTCTCCTAGAGAGCACTGGTTCAAAGAGGCCATGCCTGGATAGATGTTTTGGCCCTCCTGCATAACACCAAGCCTTGCACAGGCAAAGGCAGTGATCACCTCAAAAAAGCACCAGAGCCCTCCCAGGTCTGCTCTTGGAAAAGCAACGTGGGGAGTCACAGGTGACTTCCATAGTTCTCACATTGGAAAAAGGGTCTGTTTAAGCCAACAGACTCTTCCTCATCCCCACTTTCCTTGTCCCGGCACGGCTTTACTTTCCCTAGCAGTGCACAAACCTTGGGCAGGGCCTTCTACCTAAGCAGTACAAATGCAAGCACAGACTCTGAGGAAGAGGAGGGAGAAGTGAGGGCTGGGTTCCCACATGGACACACTGGCTTTTTGGGAGACTGGGAGCTCCCAAGCAGCGCTAGGTTTGAAGCTTGGCTGAGATTTTGTGCCTTCTTTTCTTAAAAAAAAAAAAAAAAAAAAAAAAAAAAAAAAGAAAAGGAGATTAAAAAAAATCCAACTTCCCTTCTTTCCCCCTCTATAGCACTGCATCCAGAAATCCAGAATGTGCAAACCCCCCTGGTGGTGCAGGCAGGCGGTTTCTCTGTGTGCACACATTCACTGGAGCAGTCCTGTTTCCTGCCTGTCTGCTCACATTGCTGCTGGGGGGGTAGGATTGATGGGGGGAAAAAAGTGGCTTTAGAAACCCTATTGTGGGAAGAAAAAAACCCCAAAACAATCAAAGAAAAGCCCAGACACATTCTCTCTGCTTTTGTAACAACCCCTGTGTGACATTTACAGGAACACTGCCCTCAGCAGGCACCCTCCTCTACTGGGAAAGCTCTTCTGGTTCCTGCCCTCCATAAGACTGTTTGCTCCTCTTTCTTTGTTCTTTCTAATTGTATAAAATTCAATAAAATTTTATTCATATAAGAAAAGGACTTCTGCCTGCCTGCTGCTGCTTTTTTCTTCCTCCTACCTAATTCTGTAACTGCAATGACTTTGGCCATTAATACTTATCCTTGATGTGACTGGCAGTAGGCAGTGACCACACAACCGAGAGCTGAATGTTATTAGGCCAGCCTATTTGGTAGTGAGCTCTGGTACTAGAGCCTTGTTTTTCACATTCATAATAGTCTGACACATTACCCTTGAATGTACAGTTTCCCAGGCTTGCAAGGTCGCTACTTCTCTAGCCAAAGGTGAGTTTTATTTTCTGTCTTTTGGCAGGGGAGACCCTATACTGCTTTGAGTGATGTGGGAAAATGGTTTTTTTTAAAATTGCGAAATTTTGCTCATGTATTGGTTTTCCAAGCAAAATCATGGCATCTTTAAAATCTAAGATTCAAAATCTAAGTCACTGACTTTCTTAGATAAGTTTGATGGGGGAACTTTTAGGAATTTAACTGAAGTGCTGATCCCCATAGACAGAGCATGTAAAGTTTCAGTGTCTGAGTGTTCACACTCTCAGGGCATAAAGGGACTGCAAAGCATATACTTCTTAGTCTGTATCAACAGCTGCTACTAGAAGGTTATTATTAGTTAGGACAACCTGATGTTTTGCCAGGGATTTTGCATTTTTCTCTCCATGTTTCATTTTCCCAATTTCTTCTCTAAAATCCCACAGATATTCTGAAAGTGATTATTAAAGCTAGAAACCCACAAATCCAACAGCCCTGCTGCACATGCATCATGCATCTTATTCCTGGGTATTTTTCAAAAACTACTTCCAAATACTCTTGTAAATGTGTTTTCAGCTATAGACCTTACTGTAAATAAGACAGCTGCATTGCCATTTTCAGGAAGTTGACATAGGAATCTTAATGTTTCCATTTATCACCTTTTGATTGTGCAATCTTGATGTGACGTTAATAGCATCTTTACATTTTATTCCCATGATAGCCCTGTCAGTAGTCTGCTATACTATCCATCCCTTGTCACTGGTTTGCTCCTTACATCATCCTTCTACATGTCTTGTTGATCCAGAGCAGAATTGCCTCGGATGTGGGATGGTTTGCTAGGTTTGTGCAGCACCTGGAATGCTGGAGTTTGAACCTGTAAATTCTGCCTAGCAAGGCATTGCTGCAACACAAAAAAAAAAAAAAAAAAAAAAAAACCAAAAACAAAAACAAAAAAAAAACCAAAAAAACCCAAACAAACAAAAAAAAAACTTGATAGTGTTCCAGGGTTTTAATTTATCACTAAAATTCAAACAGAGGTTCAAGCTATTGCAGCAGTAAGTAAAAGCCACCATTGAAATGGTTGAGTTTGCTGACAGCCTCTTCAGTTCCAGATGTGCCATAGGGATTATCCACCACACACCATGGAGGTTACTTTAAATGTTGGTACCTATAACTATGTCACCTTCTACCAAAAAATATCAGAGAGGAACTTGTTCTGAAGCAAGGATTAACTGTACTTTTGAGTGCTGAGACAGAAATAACCATGAGAGGATGCTTCACACTTTAGAAGTGGATATCTTTTTAGAGGCTGGTGTAGATGAGAGCTCAGTTAAAAATATTTGGGAAAACTGGTCTGCAGACTGCCAGAAGTTTTTTTAACTTACACAGCTTTTGGACTCATATCTGCTGATTCATCGGAACTAAAAAAAAATAAAATTACTCAGATGCATGCACTTCAACACACTTTTGCTGAAACACAGATGAATTTCCAGCGGAAACCAGTCTAACAGATGGTATCCTGTCCAAAACTGCCTGGTTTCCCTATGAGGATGGGGGATGCTCAGGACATCAGTCTTCCTTACATCATGTTTTAGGCCCTCATTAAGAGGACATCAAATCAGGTAGCCTCAGATGCCACCCAGGAGGTAACTGGGTAATTGATGGTACTGGACAGAGGAAATCAAACAAATATTTTTATATTGGAGGAATGATCATGATAATCATGGTTTCATCAAGTACATTGGTAAGCTTTTGCAGGTTACTGAATTTTTCTTCAAAGCAACATTTGACATCTCAGCTTTTTTCACTTCAGGCATGCAAGTGTCTCTCTATGTCTGCACTCTAACCTGGATCTTCCCAGCCATGGCACCACTGGTTTGTGAGCAGGTGGATGAGTCTGTGCATGTCTGCCACCACCAGGTGAACCAGGTGAAAGTTCTCTTATGGTGGTCTTGAACATTTCCAGCACATGGAAAACTGAGACAGTACATGCCTTTCACAAATTCACTTCTGAGCAGACCCAAGCACTCATGTTTACTCATGGCCTCTGTTTAACAGAGGCCTGGAATGAGTTGTTGTCAGGTTTTCCAATGACCGAGTTGCCTTTCTTTCTGTGCTTTTTCTGAGTGCTGCTGGCTATCCTGCCTGCAGCTTGTTTTTCTGATGCCAAAAAACTAGTGCTCACCCACTGTACCCTTGTTACAGGTCTGTTCTTGCCATGAGAAAGGCAAGAGGTGCTGGTGAGGATCAGGAATATGGGTGTTGAGAGAGGGAATGCAGTGTCACTGAGCTCACTGAGCCATGTCTCTTCTTGGCTGATGAGTAGATGGACATCAGAGACAAAGCAAGCCTTGAAATCAGGGAGAGTGAAAGGCTGTGGCTCTTTTTCTTCACATTGCTTTCTCCCATGTCTGCCTCTGAGCATTGCATGTGCCTGAGGATGCTACCAAGAATTACCAGGTCTGTGACGTCCTAAGCAAGGGAGGGCACATACAGGGCATTTCCTGAGCCTTCCTTGGCACTGGCTCAGAGCTCTTGTTGGCTGGTGGACAGCACAGAGAAAGGTTGTCTTAGGTCACCTACACAGCCATGGAGCCAGAGTGGGAGATAATATGTGGCAAGAGACTTGGACATGTAAATGATGTTGTTTAGGGAGGAGAAACTTTGTAATCTTGGGACTTCCTGACTCTAGAGCTCTGGCATATTTTCTTTGATGTGTTTCCATGGACAATGACAGCTAAAAAAGCACTTTTCCTTTTCTTGTAGCAGAGAGCACTGCTGATGTGCAGGAATGGGGCAGTGCGCATGGCTGAGGATCAGACTCCTCACTAAGCCTTCTAATGCCATTTTCTGCTTGTTGTTTGTTCCTGATTTCCTCCTTCCTCCCACTTCCTCTGTAACATGTTTGAATGAGAAAGTGGGTTGGCAGGAAATTTAATCTATTCATGTAAAAACAAGCAAAAAAGCCCCAACCCCACAAAACAAATAGCAGGAAAGAAGAGAGATTAAGATGCAGCTTGCGTGGTTGGCTGGCAAGTGATGCTTTAGCAGTGGATATAGCCTGGGTCAGGTCCTGGATTTGGACTTATTAAATCATACTTGGGAAGGGATGATGACTTTCTTCCAGTCAATATGCTTTAATGGGAGAACTGATGTGGTGCATGCTCAAAAAGGCTAAGGGACTGGATACAGTAAAGGCTCTATAGTTTAATGCTTGTATTTGAACCCACTATGTTTGCTAGAGTCTGCCTTCCTGGATGCTATCAATATCTGCAGAATTTCTCTCAAGTAGCTAATTTTTCTTTAATGATCACAAGACCCTTTGGCAAGCAATCACCAGGTTGTTGTCCATGTGGACATTTCAGACAGGGGAAAGCTGTGTGGTCTGGGTTGCAGCAGCACTCTTTAAGTTGTGGCAGTTTCTAATGTTGCAGAGTAGCCTAGAGACTTTTTTAGTGATTGGCATCACTGCTACAGCCTTTCAATCTGGGATCCTCTCCCCTCCTCTTAGATTGAGGCTTATGGCACATTTGCCCCTGTGCTCCACATGAAGAACCAAAGGCAGCCAAGGCTAGAATTAGCTCCATAGAAAATCCAGTGTGACTTTAGACACTCAAAATTAAGATTCTTAGGGATAGAAACTATTACAGAAATGTGCAATGGACAATGTTGGGGAGGATGAGTAAATATAATTGCCTGACAAAAGATTTACAATAGTACAGCCAGGATGGAAATAATCCCCCCTACTGGTTGGACAATGCCCTTACCTACAGATAGGTCCAAAAGTCAAATGGACTGTTCTATCTCACCCCCAAAATGTATGGTTCATCCACACCTGTAACCCTCCCCTGAAACATCAGGTGTCTGTGACCCCATCGGCCCAAGTCTTGTTCCAGCCCACCTTGAAGCCCCCTGATAAGGGGTCCCTGAGGAGCCAGACGCTCTCTTGGAACTTCCACCCTCTTGGAACTTCCACCCTCTCCTGGAGCATCCTCTTATCTCCCTCTACCCCTTGCCTCTCCCCTCCCCCATCCCCTCAGGCCTTGCCACATGTCATGTCTGGCAGCTCCAAGCAGGACCTTTCACCCTCTCTAATAAACCTGATATTCTAAGAGCAGCCTTCAGAGATCTCTCATCTCCATCCATCCAAACCCTCCTGGAGCACAGAATCCCCACAGACAGAAAGCGGTTCTTTCTTTTGACTGTGGTTTCCTGCTGGGAATAATATGTATAAAATCAAAGACTATCATTTGGTGACACAAACAACAGTAATAGGTGCACAAGCACATAGATCTCCCAGCAGCTCTCTCCGGGGGGCACTTGCCCAATGGCTACAGCCTGCAGTCTGTTCCTGCTATTTGTGAGCACAGTCTCCATGGCTTTGTTTGCTCGTCTTCCTTGGCTGTGAATGCATCCTCTACTTGCTGGTCCACGCCCGGGGACACGCAGGAGGTTGAAGCACGACAGTAGAAAGGGGGAGAACGCCCCGTGCTTTTGCTCAGCCCAGTCACCCAGAGCACACATCCCGCTTGTTTCCCGGGATAACCTGTTGTGTAGCTCCCAAATCGCGGTGCCTCTCGCCGCTCCTCCCGTCATCCCACCAGTTGCACACTGGCCAGGGAAAGTTGTGTCCTTGTGGGAAAGCAGGCGGGGAGCTTCGGGGCTATGTCCGCAGAGCGGCTGCACATTCTGATTTCCTCACTGCTGCCGGATTTGGGTCACAAAGATCGCCTTTTTTGGTGGCTCTACGCTGACATCCT